CAGTCAGTTGAGCAACTGATTCTTGGTTTCAGCTCTGGTCCTGATCTCAGGGTCATGAAATCAGCCCAGCATTGGGTTCTGCGCTTGGCATGGAGTCTGCTTGGGATTCTCTCTCTCCCTCTGTCCCTCCCACTCTCTCTCAAATAAATAAAGCTTTAAAAAATAGAACATAAAAACATTTATTTTTATAATTTCTCTTGTGGGATATTAGATATTCAGAATTTCCATGTCATCCCGACTAAATTTTGGTAGTTTTTTCTAGGAAATCATCCCTTTCATCTACAACTTAAAATTTATTAAGATAGGGGCGCCTGGGTGGCTCAGTCATTAAGCGTCTGCCTTCAGCTCAAGTCATGATCCCAGGGTCCTGGGATCAAGCCCTGCATCGGGCTCTCTGCTCGGCGGGAAGCCTGCTTCTCCCTCTCCCGCTCCCCCTGCTTGTGTTCCCTCTCTCGCTGTGTCTCTCTCTAATAAATAAACAAAATCTTTAAAAAAAAATTTATTAAGATAAAGTTGTTCGTAGTATTCCCGTTTGATTAAAATTTTAGAAATCAGCATGTATGGTTAAATCCTACTCCTTGTTTTGGGACCCTGAGATAGCACTTGAATGGTGGAGCAGCAGGCTAGGAAGAGCCTGGGTCCCTGTTGACTTTGTGGGTTAGGGCTGCCACACCAATCCTGACATAGGCTGCCTACCTGCAGCCCACCTGCACATATTATCTTGAGAAATACACTTATACATCTTGGTTAAGATCCTGCTATTTTGGGGGCGCCTGTGTGGCTCAGTCATTGGGCATCTGCCTTCGGCTCGGGTCGTGATCCCAGGGTCCAGGGATAGAGCCCTGCATCAATTGGGCTCCCTGCTCAGCAGGGAGTCTGCTTCTCCTTCTCCCCCTGCTTGTGTTCCCTCTCTCGCTGTGTCTCTGTCAAATAAATAAATAAAATCTTAAAAAAAAAAAAATCCTATTTTGGATCTCTGTTATTTGTAATCCTAACTGATCCACTGCCTCACAGGGCTGTTATAAGGATTAAATAAATGAGAGAATACAAGTAGACCACTGAGCCCAGCACTACCTCTTAACACATAGGAAGTGCTCAATAAAGAGTGACTAGTCCCAGGGAGTTAGGTATCGCCAGGAACCTGTCACAGGGGCATGCCCACAGGAGCATAAGGTACATGAGAAGCTGCCGGATTTAGGCCCTCCAGGCATTTTTTCCACTTTCCCCTTAACATCTGAGTCCAGCTTGTTCTGGTCAGTGGCCTGTTGGGTTGTAGTATTAATCTTCAAGACTAGCCTCGAACTTTGTTAGTTGAAAAGAGAAAACCTGGGGTGCTCTAGGAGGTGCCAGAGGTGCAGGCCACGGAGTGCTGTCTTTGCAACCGAGGCAAGGCAGCCTGACTGACCACACACCACAGACTGGCAGAGGAGCGTGAGGATGAGGAAGGTTGGATCATCTTCACAACCTTCCTTTCTCCACTCTCCACCATATACCAAGGAGAAACCTCAGCCCACAGCCTCTGGCAAGTCTCACCTTCTAGCCTCCCCTTCTGCAGGCACCTGCCACCAGAGGTGTCATTTCAGCTCCTGGTACATCAATCTCTTCCTCATGGTGGGGCCTTTATTCATTCTGCTCCCCTTGCTTGGAAGGTTCTGCCCCCAAATCCTTGTAAAACGGCTTCTCGTCATTCTCCGTCTCAGCTTAAATGTTCCCGCCTTGAAGGGGCCCTCCCTGACAGTCCGTTCCTAACATCCTCCATTGCTTCACACGTTCCTTTCTTTCTGGTATTTGTCACTACCTGAAAGCAATGTTTATGTCACTTATCTGCTTATCAGTCTCCCTCACTAGACCGGAACCCCGTGAGGGCAAGGATCTTGTCTGGCTTTGTCATCGCGTATTCCTCATCATTTAGCAAAGAACCTGGAATGCAGGCATTCATTTCGTGTTTGAAAAACGAATGAGTGAATGCAGCAAAGCCCCTACTTAACGTTTCCCTGCCCTTTACCTCCCTCCCCCCTCACTGGCCACCTCAGTTTCCCCGGCTCACCCCGCCCCCAAGAGGGGTCTCCCTCCAGACGGTTCCTGAGCCCGCGCCCGGCTCTCCCCAGCACCACTGTCAGGCCCTGCTCCGGGGCTCAGAAGGTCCTAGAGCGCCAGCGGAAGGTGTCCGCGCGACCGCTGAGCTCCAGTGCAGGGGCCATAGGTGGATGCCGGGATCGGGCTCCCAGAATTCCCAGCCAGCAACGAGATGCCGGGGCTGGGAGCTCCAAACCGAAAGCGGCTCTGGCCCGGGCGGTCCGGCCCTCGCCCGCGGCCCCTCTAGGACCGCAGGAGGCTTGGCATCTCGGTAGTAGGCCCAGGGCCGGCTGTGAAGGCTAGGGGGGTGGCGAGGTCAGCAGTCCAGGCCCCCATCCTTGGTCCCTTCAGCAACGGCCATCCGGCAGAGGGTTAAAGGGAAAGCGTCAAAGCAGAGATTTTTCGGATGTTGCCGGGCAACCGTGCCGCTTGGGGAGCGGTGGGGTGAAAAAGAGTCGTGATTGGCCGGTTCTGCTGCAGCCCGCCCCTCGCCCCGCCCCGCCCCCTGACTGGCTAAGGTCTGAGCTGGTGGGAGGGGCCTGCCGGAAACCCATCCTCCTCGCTGCGAGGCTGCTCAGTAAGGATGGCCGTCCTACCCCCTCGCCCGCGCCCGGCCTCGCTACCCGGCGGAGTCACCGAAGTGCGGGAGACCCCTCGGCCCGGGAAGGGCAGCAGGGCCAGCTGGGATCTCGGCCCCTGCAGCAGGGACCTGGGCCGTGCCTTGGGCCGCACAGGGAGCGGGTGGGCAGCCCGCAGCGACTATTCCCCGCCTCCGCCCTCACCCTCGCCCTCCCTCTGACGGCGCAAGCGCAGATGAAGCGTGAGCGACCAGGTGGGGGCCCTCCAAGGCCGGGAGGCTGGGAGGCCAGGTGTGGCAGAAGCCAGGAGGAAGCGGGCCAGAGACACCAAGACCCTTCCCTGGCGACCCCCTTCCCAGTCAGCTACCTCTCCATCACCCACCAAGTCACGAACACCCTTCAGCCTCACATTCTAGGCCCTTCCACGACATCTCCACTACCTCCGCAGTCTTAGTTGTTCTTGTCAAATGTTTCCTAAATTGCCAAGTTCCAGTCAAAAAATGTTCTCGCCAGCTCGATCCCAGAATGGTGGCCTCTGGATGGGTCTCTAAGCAGAAGTGGACTGAGACCCATGGGGCCCTTGGAATCACGTTCCTCTCCACGGTGCTATGAAAAGGGGAAACAGTTTCTCCAGGTCTCAGAGTTCCTCAGAGGCCAGAGTGGAGTCTTTAAACGATGCCCTGACTCACTCGACAGATCTCTGAGCTGTTCAAGTCCTGGCACACTGGCTATAAAGTCCAAGGAAGCAAATGAATCACCACTGTGCAAATACGTCCTCTGTGCTAAGCTTGTATCAAGTTTAACGAGTGTCCTTCCGGCCTCTTTCATCAGGAAACAAGCTCCTGGAAGCTGCAAGCCTGCTTTATGTGAACAAGCCCTCCTCAGCCCCTTATATTGAGCCAAGCTGAGAAATCCCATTTCTGACTGAGTGACCCAAGCCATGAAGACAAGCTGAAGGGAAGAAACAGCTTTCTTTCTCATGTCTTCCAAGAGCCATCTAATTCAACCAGTCCGGCCAGCAACCCAACCCTAGATCTCACTGAGACCTGCCAGACACAACCAAGTTCTGCCTGGGGTCCCACTAGTCCACAGCTTCCTGGCATCTGGCTGATGACCTGCTCCCTGACTCGCCATCTCCGGCTGAGTCCAGCACCCCTGAAGGTCAAGTCTACAGTCTGTCTTACTCTTTTTGGACAGCCCCACCTCATAACATGCACTAGCCAGCCAGTAGTCATTGGGATGCATGGAAGCAGGGGTATTCTTTACACAACGAAATCCCTGGACCTGAACCCCAGCTTCCATCTCTCTGGTTGTTGGCTAAGTTATTGGACCTCTCGGCTGTTTCCTCATCTATAAGACTGGGACGGGGTCCACTGCTCAGAGCTGTGGAGACTAGAAGTGACAATATACATGGCACTTGGCCCATTGACTGGCAGCTACTATGGTCAGTCCCCATTCCTGCTCCAACTCCCTTGGGAGCCAGGAGCCAGCCAGGGCGGCAGCCACCCTGCTGGCCTCCTAATTCAGGGAGGCAGGTGGAGTCTCAACGGCCGCCCACATGCAGGTGTCCTCAAGGTCAGTCGGTGTCAGAACCCAGTGTCATCTTGAGAGCCAAGCTGCAAGGTTTGAATAAGCAGGCTGAGCCCATTCCTCCCCAGGAAAAAAAGAGAATGGGAAATAGAAATACAGAGGTCAAAAAAGCAGAAGGCCAAGAGTAAAAGAGCCAGACGGGCAGGTAGGGCAAATTATAAAGGACATGTACAAAGAGGCCAAGGAGGTGAAAAGTACCAGAAGGAGCTGACTGCAGCCTCAGAAGGCACCAGGAGGGACAGTGGTCCCTGGTAAGGGAAGAATCCTCACTGGATTACAGCCGGGCCCCAGTGGAAACACATGGAAAATGTCCAGTCACAAAACAGGCCTCCAGTGCCTGAGACAGGAGACAGGGAGGGCCGCAGACAAGGAAGATGAGTTCCCAGCTGGCTCAACCCTGCTCCAGCTCCCAAACAGAAGAGCCAAGGGAGGGTCCTGGGCTCGGGGGGCAATGTCCCTGGGGGCAGGAGCAGTGGTGGCAGCAGCAGACCACCCCTCCAGGGGGATCCACAGTCTCAGAAGTGGCTGGCTGGCTTCAGGTTTGGAAACCTCTGTGCCCAGAAGCCTTTGCTTGTAAACTTAGGGTCCAGATGCTCTGGACTGGCCCCAGGTCAGGTCAGGGCGGGGAAAGAGAGTACCCAAGCCCCGACAGCAATGACTCAGGGATGCCTCAGCCATGCTGACGTGGCTGACCCTGGAGGCCCCCCAGTTGGACTCACCGCCAGGGCCCCACGAGACAGAACATAAGTGGTGGCTGGAATTCCAAGGCCTTTAATTTGCAGCTAGCGTGCCCGCGCCTCGCCCTAGTTCCTGTGTTGCCACGCCCCACCCCATGCCAGCACCTCCCGCTCCCTTCCCACACCCCTTCTCACGCTGCCCTGACGCCTCCTAAGTGGGAGCAGGCGGGGGTGCCGCCAGCGCCCCCGCCGCCCCCAGCATCAGCATGGCCAGTGCCTTGGGCCCTGTCGTGTGGATCTTCTCGTGCCGGTGCAGGTTGGAGCGCCGGCTGAAGCTCTTGCCACAGAGGGGGCAGGAGTAGGGCCGGACGCCACGGTGGGTGCGCTGGTGGGCGGTGAGGTGTGAGCTATGACTGAAGCTCTTGCCACAGTCGAGGCAGTGGTAGGGCTTCTCGCCTGTGTGCGTGCGGTTATGCGCGATGAGGTTGGAGCGCTGGCTGAAGCACTTGCCGCACTCGGGGCACGGGTAGGGCTTGACCCCAGTGTGGGTGCGCTGGTGGGTGACCAGGGCCGAGCTCTGCGTGAAGCACTTGCCGCAGATGGGGCACTTGTGGGGCTTGGCGCCCGTGTGGGTGCCCTGGTGGGTGACCAGGTCCGAGCGGCGGGTGAAGCGCTTGGCGCAGCGGTCACACACGTAGGGCTTCTCACCCGTGTGGATGCGCTGGTGCTGGATCAGCGTCGAGTGGTGGCTGAAGCTCTTCCAGCAGGAGGGGCAGGTGTAGGGCTTCTCACCCGTGTGGATGATCTGGTGCTGGATGAGGTGCGAACTGCGGCCAAAGCGCTTGCCGCAGTCCGTGCAGGTGTAGGGCTTCTCGCCCGTGTGGGTGCGCCGGTGGGTCACCAGGTGGGAGTGCCAGCTGAAGCCCTTGCCGCACTGCTCGCACTTGTAGGTCTTCTTGCTGGCGTCACCGTCGGGAGCCAGGCCCTCCTCGCTGCTCTCGGGGCTGCCCGTTCGCCCCTCTCTGGGTTTCTCTGGAAGGTGGCCCTCCTGGGCCTTCTCGAGGCTGGTGTCGGGCGGGGTCGGTTTCGCCTGCCTCTCCTCCAGGGTACCCGGCTGCCCATCGTCTTTGGCTGGCCCCGAGCTCTGGCCGCTGCCTGCTTGCTGCCCGCACTGCAGGATGTCTCCCTGGGCTCTCCCTACCCTGCTTCTGAAAGGCTTCACATCCCCAAGGGCTGCCAGGGATGCCAGGGATGGGGCTGGCTCCTCCTTTCCCATCTCAGTGGCTCCTGGAGAAAGAGAGTTTCCAGCAAGAGAGAGACTTCCATGAGGGACCCAGGGAAATTCTGGAAATGGAGTTAAGAACGAGGATCCTGGAAGGAAAAACCACCCCCCCTGCCCGGCAGAGGACAGGAAGCCGGCAGCCTTGCCCCTGGCATGTGTCTGCACCCCAGAAAACAGAGGGCCCGCACTGACAAAGGGCACCGGGAGTGACAGTGACCCACCCACCTGCCACCTCTGCACGCACCTGGCTTCTCCTCCTCATCTCCCATCTGCCGGCACGAGCTCGAGGCCTCACCCTTGCCCTGTCCTTGGGAGGCCCAGAAAGGTCTGCTGAAGGGAAATCCTGGCCAAAAAGAGACGAGATGCTGCACTCAGTCGTGGAACTTTCAGGCTGCACAGCAGGAGACAACCCCCGCCCCCACCTGCCAAGTGAAGAGGCAGAAGTGGGGAGGCAGCTCTGCAAACATGGGGTAAAACGACATAAGCTGAAAAATCGCTTGGGGTCGGGTGTCCAGCCCTCTGTGAGAAGCACACTGTAGGGTAACTGCCAGACCTACTCTCCTCGGGGCTGAGTTGGGCTCCATCTCATTTCCCTGAAGGAGCCACAAGAGCAAAGGGAGAGGGGCCGGGTGAGGTCAGCTGCCGACAACCCCCTGTCACACAGGCCCCCAGCAGTGAGCCCAGCAATATCTCCAGTCCTGCACCTTCCCAGACCAGGGGCAAAAAGGGCTCCTGGGGGAGGGACAGTGGGTGCAACGAAGCCCAGTGGGAGGGCCTGGGAGAAGAGGCCAGGGGTGCTGACCACCTAGTCAGGGACCAAAGGCCCACTGGCCAAGTCCCCTGAGGCAAGGGCCTGGGGATTCTGGTCAAGTCAGTAAGAGAGCAGAGGCCCCAGCCTCCATGCCCTGATCCATACCCTGCAGGAGGGAAGGAATGTGTTGGACCCACCAGCAGGTTTAGGGCACGTGTGAGGCTTGCTGTGGGGCTGCAAATGGGTGCTGAGTTCCCTCTGATCTCTCGGGACTTGCCTGGACCTGCCGCTCTGGGCCCTGGGGAGTGCTAAGGATGGGTGGTAAGCAAACCCGAGATAATTAAAGGAGTGAGCTGTCCTGACTCCAAGGCCCACCACCGAAGTCAAGGGTGGAATGATCAAGCCCCTGGCTCCCTGGACCAGCAAGTGTGCCCCTGGTGTGTATGGACGGACAGACAGACAGACCAGACATATGAATGAACGGCAATGAAGGAATGAGCACCAGGAGCTGTCCGTAAGACCTCCTAAATTCTGCCAACAAAAGCAGGGTCTGAAACGGAGGAGTCGGAGTGCTGGGACGTTACTTACCATGAGAAACAATGAGGGGGCCGAGGCCCCTCTGAAAAAACAACAGACCCCTCAGGGTGGATGTGACAGCTCAGGGTCTGGGGGCCTAGAGAGATTAGCTGGCACCCGTGCGCCCCACCCCCGGCAGGCATCCCCGATCTGCAGCCAAGCTCTCAGCACACACACCTCTCAGGTGGGACTTGTGGGAGGAGCGGACTAAACACTTCAGAAGGACCAAGGAGCAGAACCTCGAGGCCAGCACTGCCCAACATAGCAGCCGCTCGCCATGTGGAGCTATTGCAATTCAAACTTGAGCCGGGTAAAATGAAATGAAATATGAACTCAGGCGCTCCAGCCACATTTCCGGTGCCGAGCAGCCACATCTGGCTCGTGGGCCCCAGGTCAGCACAGAGCACATGTCCTTCACCAGGAAGGTGTTACAGAACAGAGCGGCCCACATGAACGATGAGAAGGAGCTTAAGCCCTGGAAGGAGGGGATGGCGGGACGGCCCCACCTCTGGCACCGGGCCTCAGTAAGTGGCCACCCCAGCACAACCTCGGGCCCTTACCCAAGGACAGCCCGTTCCTCTTCTGCAGGACGTCCCTATAGAAGCTCTGCTGCACGTGGTCCAGCCGCCCCCACTCCTCCCGGGAGAGGTACAGAGCCACATCCTCAAAGGTCACCGGCATCTGAAACAACACACAATGCCCACTCTCCAGGGCACGCCGGGACACCGTGGAGGGGCACAATGGCTCCAAGATGAGGGCGACCCCTCCCCAGCCTCCAACCTGCTGCCCCAAGTAAGGCCTGTCCTCCAATTTGTCTGATGGTGAAGCAGGACAACCGCCCAAGGGTGACTTTTGCCGGGGGGCGGGCAATAACAAAGCAGTTGTGTACAACAGAAAACAAAAGACGAAGACAGGGGCGCCTGGGTGGCTCAGTTGGTTAAGCGACTGCCTTCGGCTCAGGTCATGATCTCAGGGTCCTGGGATCGAGCCCCGCGTCGGGCTCCCTGCTCGGCAGGAGGCCTGCTTCTCCCTCCCACTCCCCCTGCTTGTGTTCCCTCTCTCGCTGTGTATTTCTCTGTCAAATAAATAAAATCTTTAAAAATAATAATAATAAATAGGGGGGCCTGGGTGGCTCAGTCGTTAAGCATCTGCCTTCGGCTCAGGTCATGATCCCAAGGTCCTGGGATCTAGCCCCACATGAGGCTCCCCTGCTCGGCAGGAGGCCTGCTTCTCCCTCCCACTCCCCCTGCTTGTGTTCCCTCTCTCGCTGTCTCTCTGTCAAATAAATAAAATCTTTTAAAAAAAAAAATTAAAAATAAATAAATAAATAAAAGACAAAGACAAGGGCCCTTTCCGGCACCACAGCCAAAGCTCAGGCTCTCCACGCGCCCCCCTCCGGCCCCCACCCTCGGGTCCGGCGCTCAGATCCGGACTCTGATGCACGGACATGCCGTTCCTCCACATCCTTGTGCTCTTCCTCCAGCCTTGCACTTGAACAGGGACACTCACCTGGGACCAGGCTGTGAGCAGTGCCGCAGCCATCTGCCGGTCTCTGGTCCTCCCTTCGCGAGCAAGCCCGGGGATCTGGGGGGAGGGGAGGGCTGAGAGAGGAGAGAGGTCCTCAGGGCGGACACCTCACCCTGCCGGGCCCCGCCGCTCCCCCTGAGCGGACCATGCCTGGCTTACCACGGACACCACAGCTGCCTCAAACTCCACCCCCAACCTGACCCAAGAAGAGGGTCAGTCGGTTCTAAGGTTGTGCGGGAGCGGCCTCTGAGGGGCAGGTGGGCAGACATCCGGGCATCTCCATGGCAGGAGAGCTTGTGCGCCCCCCCGCCATGCTGTGAGCCTCCACCTCTCCCCACAGCTGCCACCCAACAAAGTGCATCTCTCCACGTCCCTCTCCATCCCTCTCCTCACCTCCACCAGGCAGGAAAAGAGCCTTCTCCTTAGAGCCCTGGCTTAGGGACACCCAGCCTGGCGTTCCTGGAGCCCCATCCCCCTGCGATGCCCCCTCAGGGTGTGGCTCTTCCGGCTCCGTTTTGATGTGGGGTGACTCCCGAGCAGCTCCCAAAAGCACCATCTCCTCCGACTCAGAAAGCATTTCTTGACAAGGATGCTCATGACCTGGAACCTAGGAATGACAGCCCCCATCAGCACCTGGGCAGAGTATGGGAGACTCAGCCGAGCTCCACACCTGAGGGTCCTGGCAGGGGCCACACACACCCAAATGCAAAGCACAGATTGAAGGACTGGCCTTGCTTTCTTCTCCTGGCCTGGGGACCCGCACATCTCTGCTTTGCCTCCACAAGGCCGCGGCAGCAAGGGAAGGAAGGCTCGAGGTCAGGCCAGGGGCAGGCGTGCCAGGTGCCCACAGAGTAGATGCCTCTTCTCAATTCCAGCCTCGTACCACCCACAGCAGTGTGGACTGTTACCGTTTAACACTGAGGAAACCAAGTGCAGTGGATTGAATAGTGTCCCCCCAAATTTCACATCTGCTTGGAACCTCAGAACATGACCTTATTTGGAAGATATAATTAGTTAAGGATCCTAAGATGAAATCATCCTGCATTTAGACTGGGCCCTAAATCCAATGACTGGTGTCCTTATAAGAGGAAAAGACATGGAAACACAGAGAAAGCCACGCGAAGATGGAATCAGAGCTGGGGTGAAGCCAAGGGACACTTGGAGCCACCAGACGCTGAGAGGCAGAAGGATCCTCTTCCTAGAGGCTGGAAAGGGAGCCCCCGCAGTGCTGTGATTTGGGGTTTCTGGCCTCTAGAACTGAGGGAATAAATTCTGGTTGTTACACAGACACAGGAAACTGACGTATCCGGGCTCAGAGATCAGAAAACGGCCCAAGATCACAGATCCCATGAGTGCTCGGCCAAGGGTGGAACTCAACGGTATCTGACTCACAAGTCAACCCCAGGGCCACCATTTCTTGGAGATGACAGGGAGGTATCATGTGGCCTTGGGCCATTTCCAGCCTGACTCAATTTGGTCACAGAAGTTGGAGTTTTGGGGTTTGGAGAAAAAAGCCCAAGGGCACCGCTAACTGCGCCAAGGCCCACACCCACCTCGGTCCGACAGAAGGAAAACCTCCCGGCTCACCCCTGCAGCACCACCCACCACAATGGCGCTTCCAGGGTCCTCCTACCCGGTCCCCACTTCTTCACACCAGCCTCAGCTCCAGCCCCTGGGACGGTGAGAAAGGGGCTTTGGAGTCAGGCAACCAGGGCTCAGATCCAAGCCATCCAGGCCGGCCCCTCACTAGCTGCTCAACCTGGAGCAGGCACCGCCTTCGCACAAACCTCAAGACTTTTGGGAAAGTCACTTCCTTTGCCTTGGGAGGCCCCTGGTGAGGCCTCCCTGTCATCCACAACAAAGGGACTGGCCAGGCTTCTCCCTCCACCACCCCCCACCTACCATCTATGTTATTAGGGTCTCAGAGGGAAAGACCCTCAGGCCAGGGAGCCACCTGGGCCAGGCAGCCTCTGAGACTCAGCTGCTCTGCCTCATGCACAGATAACCTGCGAGAAAGAGCTGCGCACTCTGGAACATTCTGGATAAACACAGAGTGGTGCCAATAATTATTATTATTACTCTACTGTGTGAGCTGACAGAATCCAACAGTAGCAGAGAATGTCAGGGACGTGTGAGGCCCATCGGGTGTTACCAAGGGGTCGCAGAAGGGAAAGCAAACAGAGCTGACACTCCTTTGTGCGTCTATGGCACGAAAATGGGACAATTAATACAGACGGTCCCTGACTTACAATGGCTCAACTTAACCAGTTTTCGACTTTACGATGGCACTAAAGTGATAACACATTCGGTAGAAACTGTACTTCAAATTTTGAATTTGCATCTTCCGCTGGGCTAGTGATCTGTAGCACGGTCCTTCCTGGGGATGCGGGGGCAGGAGCCGAAGCTCCCCGTCAGCCACGCGCTCACGAGGGTAAACGACCGACAGACTGACCGCCATCCCGTTTTTCTCTTTCAGTACGGTATTCACTATGTTACATGAGATACTGCTCAGCGCTTCATTATGAAATGGGCTCTGTGGGAGGCGATTTTGCCCAACTGTAAGCTGATGTTAGTGTTCTGAGCTCGTCTGGGGGAGGCAGATTAAGCTATGATGTTCAGTAGGTTAGTGTGTTAAATGCATTTTCGACTTCTTATACTTACAATGGGTTTATCAGGATGTAACCCCAACACAAGTTGAGGAAGATCTGCACTTGATTTGTATTTGAACTTACAACCCTTGGAACTACTAGTTGAGGTGCTGTAGGTTTCTCTGACCTAGGTTCTAGTTGCTGTGGGTGTTATTTTATGTTACAATATAATAGGGAGGCTCTGAGCCTCCCAAACACCTAGATGAGACAGGTAGGAACAGCAGGCCCGTGACAGACATGTTATAGGTGACACTCCTGGCTCCCAGAGGCAGGAGACCTGCCCAAGGCACATACCTGGCTGCAGCTGACTCATATTCCTTTGATTCCAAGCCCAGTGGCCCTGCCCCCTCCCCTGGTTGTGATTACACACATGGGCAACAGGTACATGAAGGACTAGGTGCTTAGACCCAGAGAGAGTGAAGATGGGGTCCTAGGCAGAGGGAGGGTAAACTGAGGCCTCCCTGCGTGCTCTGGGCACTGTTCAGAGAGCAACCCCACCAGGAGGACCCCCATGCAGCCTCCTTGCTATTTCGTATGGCCTTTGGCCAAATGACGACTGAAATTGCCAGGCAAAGCAGAGCAGCTTGGTAGCTGTCGACTCCCAGGTGGAAGGCATTTCCTGTCGTACCACCATCTCTTCAACACCTCCCATCACCCCCATGCACCAGCCCTGCACCCTGGCAAGCCTAACTCTTCCTTGCCTTGAAAGTTCCCTCCTGCTCTGAGTCCTTCCAGGACATGCGTCCCTCACCCAGCGCCCCGTCCATACCTCTCGGGCTCTCTCCTTGTCCTGGGCAGCCCTGGTGCCTCCACCGTCTGCAGACATTTCTGAGTCAGAGGTAGAAAGCACAGCTGAGTCGTTTCTCCCTCTTGTTGGCCAACGCCCTCCAGCTTCTGGCCAGGAGCCTGAAAGAGCAGGAAGAAATCAGCCAGCGTCTGCTGGGCACCTCTAAAGCACTGTGAAAATCGCCACGCAGGACCAGACCCATCCTTGGTCCCAATCAGAAATAAAGCCTCCCAGATGCCTTCCAGTGACCTCACTCTCTATGATGGTTTTTGGTCCCTCGCTTGACAGAATGCTATTTTGTATCGTCCCCTTTGTCACTTAAGCCAGGACTCTGCATCTCAGAGCAGCCCAGTTAGGGAAAGCCAGGGCTGACTTAGAATCTGTCTCTCCTGCCATCAGGAGCCAAAAGGTCTGCAGAGATCCTAAAAACAGGTGTGGCCACACCCGTCACAGCCAGCTCAGCGGGAGAAGCGAGGCCCCACTGTCTCCCGGGCCCAGGACACACACACCCTGCGCTCGACCTGACTCAGCCCTGCCTGGGATCCAGAAACTGAGCGGCCTGCAGCTGCAACCACCCGCCAGGTCCATCCTGCTCAGGGGCCTGGACGGACCATGTCCTTCCCCTTCCTGAACCTGGGTCCAGGCCCGCTTTTCTCCCCACCAGCCTGAAGCCTTCCACCTTTGACCCCGTCCCCTCCTGCCAGCCGGCCACCCACATGGATCTCAGGATCCAGGCTCCCTCCCCAATGCCCCTCTCACCAAGGTGGAGGCAGAGGGGGCACCTCGGGTGGTGGGGGCCCCCTCCCCCCAGGAAGGGAGACTCCACAGCCTGCACCGGGCCGGGGAGCCGGGTGGAGACTGGGATTAGGGACAACAGGAAGTCCCTCCCAGATCCCGTTCCCCACGCAGCTGCAGCCCTACAGGGTTCCCGGCTTCGAGGGTTCCGGGTCTGGGGTCCTGAGCTGTGCTGCACCTGCTCTCGGCCTGGAGGTGAGTCCTAGGTCTGCGCTGCCTGCTCACGATCGCTTTACCTGGCATGCACTTGTGATGCCAGCAAAGCAGGGATGCCGAAATGGGGAAATAAATTCTGTGCAAGGATTCTGACATTTGACATTTCAAACAAGGCACTGCAACTGTTCTCACAGAAGGAAGGGCACTTTTTTCTGGGTAGAGGGGCACGATGGTCCTTTTTGACACACAGGGCTTCTGAAGGTCTTATGGTGTCTCCGTGGAGACGTTCCTGGATTTCACCTAAGGCCCCCAGGCTGGTGAGCAGGTCCTCTGGGCTCTCCCCAAGACTGGCATGGAGTTCTGTCTCCCTCAGAGCAAACTTAGCAAACAGGCCTGGGAACTTCCCCCTACCCTCACCCCTGTGTCGGGCCAATCTGATTCCTCTAGACCTCCTCCCCAGCTCCGTCTCAAGGCTGGGGAGTGTAACAGGGGTAACGGGGTCTGACCCAGCCGTCAACAGGGTCCCAGACTCCATCTCCCAGTCTTGGCTTTCCCTTTGGGGCCTGAGAACCAAGACTCCCAAAATGGAGGCCGAGACTGCTTCACTTCTAGGTTGAAGAACCCATCTCCCCTCCCTGAGCAGGGCATAGAGGATGGGTCTCAGGAGACGAGTGGGGCCAGCTCTGGAGTCAGATTCCAGGAAACCCCCCCATGCCCGTGGCCTCCAGTCATCAGAATCCTCTGACTCTTCACCCAGTAAGACGGGCACACCTGGCCCTGTGCCGGCCTACAGGTGTGCTGTGTGGGCCCACAGGGGTTAACTACTTTAGTTTTCCAACATTTAACAATTAGTAAAGTTCTCATAAAATCGATTTTCTTGAAAAATCAGAACATCAGGCAACCCTGGACTCATATTCCCCACATTCGGAGGCTGCTCTCATGTAGCTGCATTTGGTCCCCACTTGCCCCTGCAGCATTCTGAATTTGCAACTCTGCTTTTGGAGTTAAGCATGTTTTAGGATTCTGATCTACCCTACTGTCACTTTGATAAACAAAAAATATTAGCCTTGGGGTTTGCCTCTGGTCAGTATTTCCAGGAGTTTTAATCCTCAAGGTAAAGAGGGATGTCCAAAGTTGTAGCAAAAGTCAATACGATTGTCAAGCCAGAGAACTATAAACTGAGAAGTCACAGGGGGCTGTGAAAAAGATTAACTACTCAGTCTGTGAATGTTTCTCCACCAACAAGGAACATGACCAGTGTCCAGAGTAAGGAGACTCACTCCTGTGGTGACCCATTTCAGCCCACGTCAGCTCTAGGCGTGCACCGAGTCCCAAAACAGTGGGGGTGTCCTGATTCTTGGGCAAATGTTTCTCTACCAGACAAAAGGGGCCACTTCAGGGATGCTGGGGAAGCCCAGCAGTTTGGATCCCACCACGAGATCACCTAAACTAAACCAAATGAAGTCTCAACATTTATTTAACTGTTCAGAAAATATTTATTGAGCACCTACTATATGACAGACATTAGACCCTTCCTGGAGATGAGAGGAAACACCTCCAGGGCTGGCTCTAGGACTGAGCAGGTCTAGGAGGAAGGGTGTTCACATTTGCTGTGTGGGAACTGCAGTCCCTAAAAGACCACAGAAAGGCACCAGGGAAAGCAGAGATCAAAAACCTAAATGACTCCAGCAACAGCACCACAAGTGACCAGTGGCTTGGGTGCAAGATGGTAGTGGGGGAGGAGCTGCAGGGGTTTCAAGGATTCATATTTTGTTCAAAGGGGGCAGTTGGGGCTCAATATTGCCAAAGCTTGAGGATTTTTCAAGAGACGCCAAAAAAAAAAAAAGAATTAGATTTATATGTGAAATATCCCAACTTTTAAATGTTGATGATTCAAATAAAAATTTAAGAACTCCATACAACTTCAGCAGAAAACACCGGCTGTCTAGCTCATGGGGCACCAGTTCAGGGATGTACTCACCTCAGGAGCCTGTCACAAGGATAACTATCACGGATGGAGGCGCTTATCTGGGCTTCAGACCGAGCAAACATTCCCGCATCTGGCGGCTTCACCGAGCTTAAGAAGAGGTCACCTTCAGTTAATAAATTATGATCTACCTTCAGACATTGGCCTGAGAATTGACTCCGGTCCCACAAAACCGGTCAGAATAATAAGAACTAGAAAAAGGCACCACCTGAAGTAAGAAGGGGAAAAAATGTTTAAAAAGGAAAGGGAAGAAAGCTTGTACTAATTACGGCTGTTCAGCCAGGCTGGAGACAGGGTAATGCAGAACTCTTATCTAGCCTTAGGAAGGAGAGAAGATAAGGAGAAATAAAGGAATGTGAGAGAGGCCAGGAAAAACAGGAATAATCGAGTAAACAGCAGAGCAAATGCTAACCATGAAAAAAGAAAAAAAAGGAAAGCGGATAGGTGGGGAAATCAGGTGGGGCCCCAGGAATACAAATTTTTTTAAAGCAAATAACTAAGAACCCTCAGGGCCGCTGAGACCAGGGCGTGGACGCCCCCGCGGCCAGCGGCAGGCCCGAGGCCCCGTGCCCTGACGCCAGGCGGCCGCACGAGCCACCGTTCCCGGCCGCAGGGGGCCCATGAGCCCCACGCCCACGAGTCAGCGCCTTCCAGCCCCCAGCCGGCCGAACACCGACGCTGCATCGCGTCGTCCAGGCAGCGACGCCGCCCCGCCCACGCGCCCACAGGAGCCACCGGTGATTGGCTGGCGCCCGACGGCCTGGCCCATCCGCCTGTCCAGGGCCCCGCCCCTAGCTGCGCGCTCCCGTCCGCGCCCCCCCGAGGGACAGCCCCGCCGAGGGGGGAGGGTCACATTGGACGGCCTGCCTCTGGCCGGTGTGCCCGCGTTTCCCGTCCGGCTGCCTCATTTCAACTTCCGGTTTCCCGGCGCTCTCGCGGCGCCCGCCAGTGGGCATCGTGCGCGGGGACAGCCGGGGCGGTGAGGCCCGCGAAGAGGACGGCCACGAGCCCTCGAGTCGGCGTCTCGCGTGGGGAAACTGAAACTGTCTGCGAGAGGGCCCGGCGCCCTGTCCGGCCTCCGACACTCACCTGTTCTGAATTTTGTTTCAAAACGGGAGTATAGCATATGCTGCCGACCTGCCCGCTCTGTGATGCATACCTTGTTCACTATAAAAACAGAGAGGACAAAAACCATGCTGTGTCAAAACCAAACAGCCAGACATCCGTCAAGGCAGCGAAAGCAGACTTTATTCAGTAACTGCTGACAGCAGGGGAAAGAGCTGAGCGCTGTCGGGTTTGTGCAGAGGTGACTGGGGTTTTAAAGGAAGGAGGGAGGAGGAGAGCAAGACCCACTAGAGTCAGGGTCCTGAACGATCAGAGACAGCGGGTCAGTGGGGGTGTGACCAGGCCAGGAGGTGTGTCACTGGCAGGTATGGAAGTCAGCAGTCTATCCTCCCACGGAGAAGGGAGACAGAAGCCAGGTCCCTCCAAAGGAATGGCTCTCCCATGACAGATGCTTCTCGGTTTTGAGACACATACAATAAACCCTTTTTAATAAATGCTCTAAGAAAGGGAGGTCAGCTGTTGGCTGGAACAAACACTAAATTCTCCCTGCAGCATTGAGCTTTCTCAGGCAGGGCTGCGGTCATCCTAGCCATGCGCTGCTGGAAGCCATTCTAGAGTCTGGTCAAGTCTCTCCGTGCTGGTTTAGGAATGGTTATGTGCTGAGAGTTCTGTGAATCTCAAGCGGTGCCTTGCTGGTTTTTAGCTATGGTACATTCCTTTGTATGGCTGACCCAGCAGCCTGCCCATCACAGTCAGCAGAAATGGCCTTTTCCTGCCCTGGGCAAGCTCCAGAAAAGGCCAAGAGGCCCCTTCCTAGGCAGCAACACCAAGCGCTTCCTTCCATGATTGTCAAGGCTAGCAGCTTCAGCCTCAGCGCTAGTTTGAGCTATAGCTCAAAACTCACTCTGGCTGGCCCTTTGGTGTGGAAATTAGAATAAATTAAGTTACTTTTTCTTTAGAGATTGGTGCATTTTTAGGAAACCAGGAGAGTGTCATCATCCCAAAATAGCCTTCGTTGCAGCTGCCACCTCCTACT